ATTTAGAATGCAGTGCGTCATAATCTTAGCCTGCACAAGTGTTTTGTTCGAGTCGAAAATGTTAAAGGAGCAGTATGGACAGTGGATGAAGTAGAGTATCAGAAGAGAAGGTCACAAAAGATAACAGGGTACGCTGGTGTTTGGTTTTGTTCAACTGAGTTGTTCTGTAATTCTGTAACCTGAGTGAGTCCTCTGTGTACTACAACCTGACAGACAAAGCGAGCACTTATGTGGAGAATACATAGCAAGCTAATAGCTATGCTGGTGCATTCTCTTCAGTGAACTAACAGTTATTTCATTTTTGTGTAAACGCTGTTTTCTGTACATTCCTTGCCTGCCTGACTTCTCCACATAGTTTGCTGCAAGGAAAGCAATACAGGTTTTGTTTTTTCCTATGTATTTCACCATGTGTTTGTCATTTTGATTCCATCTACCATAAGTTCTCCTACTATATATTAAAAATAGCCCTGTGTACATATGTTGCCCATGTGTTAAGAGTTTCATATGCGCTTGTTTTTACTGTAAACCTTTGACAGAAGTGGGAGTCGTTCAAGGTCATTTTGGAATGTAGGTATCATACACTACAGTACTGACCTCAAAAATATCTTCTTGATGAGGGTAGTATTCATGAGAAGCCTTCACAGGAGGACCTTTGGCATGCTTACTGCCCTACTTTCAAATTAATCCCATGTCAGTGTGACTGGTTCTGTGGATGCCTTTTATTCCTTGAGAGTATATAATTAGTTTTGATAAAGCCATTCAGATAAAACCAAAGGTGCAGAGACAAGAGCTAGAGGTTTTTCTTTGCAGGAAGATATTCTATTTCTGTAATGCATCTGTTTGTAGACAGTGACCCAGATGACCTCTGGAGTCATCCTCTGCACTAATTTTATTGAAAATATAATTATATGGTGGTCTAGCATATAGCATTTAATCTGATTTAAATATGGTATTTTTTATTTGCTGGAAACTAATTATTCCACTGTATTGTTCACATACAGTTATTTTTACATTATTGCGCCCTCAATTCTTCTTGTAAGGGAAGACTAAGATTTTTTTTATTCAACAACTTTGTGCAGTTGTATGTAACATATGCAACAGTGTACCGGTGTTAGTTCAGAAAACCAAAACAAAATACAGCAAGTGTAGCAGAGACAAATGTTATACAAATTTTAAAGCTATTTCTGTTAAATTCTTTCAGTGAGATCAGAACTTTTATGATCTTGTAGCAAATTTCCACGTGGGCCTAATTATAACAAGTTTTGCTTTTCTGATGCAAATAAATCAATGTGTTCTAACAGGTTGAGCCCCTTCCCTCCCAACTTCATTTCATTTTTCCTTTCTAAATTGTGGTCTTCTGAGCTGACAAACCAATCCATTAACCCAATGAGCCAGACAGGATGTCTGCTTGTTTTTAAACTTTGAAAAATCGTTTATTTTCAGAAGCCCAACGTTAGTGAAAAACATACCCACCAGCTTAGGCTATGGAGCAGCTCTTAATGCAAGCTTGCAGGTAAAAAATACTAAATAATTCTTTCTTTGTACACACTGATTACGTTCTTATGTGTGATGTATTTTATTTCTCCTTATACATTGGTATAGAATTACTTGTTATGTTTATGTGGACCTGATGGTCATTCTAAATAGTTGGGTTTATCATCCAAGTAAGTTGTATTACCTAGCACTGCAAGTAGTAGTTCTTATTTGTGCTACTTTTGATGTGAAGAAGCAAGAAGGACACCCTGTGGCAAAATCTGGAACATTCAGTTTTGCTGCAAATGTTAGATTGATAGAAGCTTTTGCAAATGCATGTGGATATGCATTAATATTTATCCAAGCTGTCATAAATGATTTCACATCATAGTGTTGGGGAACATGGTGCTCATGGCAAAAACTTTAAAGTTTAATTATAATATATAATTTTTATGCAGAAGAGGCAAATGTCAGGACTTTTTTATTTTGAGTTAAGTTCTGGTCATTTTTTAAAGTATAGCAGCTGCCTGCATTATAAAGGAGCCATACATTGTGTGGAAGGGCAAAGGGGTTAAGTGTAATTCAAAGTCAAAAAATGATGTAAAACTAGAAAGTGCCATGAATATCAGAACATAGTTATAAATGGAAAATAATGAAACCTAAGCAAAAGAAAGAGTAAACCAGAAATAGAAATGCTGTTATATTCAGAATGTGGAAATAATTGGAAATGCGCAAAATCCTTCTGACCGCCTCAACAACCACTCAAAATGAGCTGTTGTGTGTGTGTATATTTCTAAATGTTCGTGCATGTATGAGTGTTATGTATAGACTAATAATTTTGGTTTTACTTTTCATTTTGGTAGGCTGCACTGGCAGAGAGTAGTTTACCATTGCTAAGTAACCCAGGACTGATAAATAACGCATCCAGTGGCTTACTGCAGGCAGTGCATGAAGATCTCAATGGTTCGCTGGATCACATTGACAGTAATGGAAATAGCAGTCCAGGCTGCTCTCCTCAGCCTCACATGTAAGTCCAGTCAGCTTTCTTCCAAGAAAAAATGCCTTAGTCTAAGGCACAATATTACTCAAAAGAGCTTTGAAAGGTGCTAAGTGAAACATCTGGAGCTATACATTTGAAACAAAACATTTATATTAAAACATTTAAATAGATGAGTCTCCATTTACTTTGTAGTGATTGCTATAAGTTTTTTTTTTGTCTTTTTTTTTTTTTTTAAAACCTCATAAATTTGCTTCAAGCTCCGAATGTAATGGAAGGCTGATCTCTGTGGTCATTTTCAGAGCCTGGTTTGTAAGGTATAGTCAGAATGTTCATACTGGAATTAGTTGTAATTTTAACTATGACTCTCTAAACCATTTATGAACTGTAGTAGAGATATTGCCCGTTTATATAAACCATAAAATGCAAAGTTTAACTGTTACCCACAGTTTACATAGAAGCCAGTAAAGTGTAACTTTTTGCCTGTCATATAAATCAGTGTAATTACATATTCAAGTTTAATTACTGGTGCGTCTGTATTGGCAAGGTTTATATGTTATATTTTATGCAAGACTACGATTCCTATTAATATTTAGCAGCTAACTATATCATTAATTACTCTAAATTCTTTCCCCTACCATCTTTTTAATGGAGCTGAGAGAGTGGAAGTATTAAAAATTGATGTATTGTGGATTTCAGAAATGTGTCTGAAGCTTTAGAAATGCCTGGCCTTAATCAGTGGTGTCAAACATGGCAGTTTCTTGTTTACTAAATAGTAAAACATGTATCTTGGAGGTATTGTTTCCCAGGTTATTTATATAATAATTAGCAGTGCGATATGTAAGTAGACTTACTTTTAAGTTTACTGTAGGATGATTTTTTAAGTGTATCTAAAATTATGGTATCTTTTTTTTTTTTTTTATGGTTTAAAAAGTTGATCTCATTTGCCTTTTTTCATTCCATTTTCTCTTTCACATTTTAAATGTTCATTTTAATTGCTAGAGTGGGATATTTAACAGTAACAGTAATTGAGACCAGGCTCCCTTTTTTACTTATGCTCTGATGTGTGAAGAATCCATTTTGATCTGACCTTTTTTAGGGAAAATATTTTACTGATTTTTTTCTTCTTTTGTTTGGCATGTTAATATATCTGTGATCACATAGAAATATTTATTGTCATGCATTTAATTGTTTTATTGTACATTTATTCTATTTGCCTTTGAAAATAATACACTGTGAACATTCATGTATTTTATCAGGTTCCAAACCATTACTTTTTCAAAATGGAAAAATTTGTCTTTTGGAAGTGTCTTTAGATGTATTAAATAATACAAAAGAAGTAATAAAACTTGAAGTAGAAAGAACATGAATATATGCTCTTGAGAGTAACACTACTCTAAAACAAGTAAAGTGAGCAATCAGACAAAAGTTTTTATATCCCATGCTTTATGCTATCAACCATGCAGTGGGTAGCTTGAGGCCTTTTACTTTTAGCAGTTCTCCTGAGTATGCTAATGCTCTCTTCCTGTATAAAATGCCAAGACAATAAAACTTTAAAGAGCAAACAAGAGTTAGATCATGTGTGTTAAAAACAGCTACTTTACAGAAAAGAATGACACTTGCTATTAAAGTTGTTTTTTAAGTGTTAGGCAGATCTGTTTACATATCCTATGTTCTGTCTGCCATTCTGCCTGATAAACTGTGATATCTGTGCATATGATTATGTAGGCATGGCTACACTTATAGCTGTGTTTGTAGCTAAAATAGTGCATATTGAAGTCATTCTTGCCTATAACAAAGGCAAATACCTTAGTTACACCCTAACTCGAGATTCAGCTTTACTCTCACGTTTCTATGATGTGTCATTTGTCAAAATTGGCATTTTTGGGACTTGCTATGTTGACTCCTTGGAAATTTGTGACGACATGTTGCTCAGTTCTTGATAGACTGAAGCAACAGAATGTAAATGCCCTGAGTCACCACTGGAGAAAGAATCTATGCGCATTCATCCCTTGCACCAAATTTAGTGCAAGAATTCTGGGGTTCTGTGAGACCATGAGCCATCAGGCAAAAGATGCAAGCTAGGTGGCCACTCACTTGTGACATTTTTTGCTTTTCTTTGCGGGGAGAAAAAGGGAATGAATGCAATCTGGAAGGAAAGACCAGGGTAGGGAGAGGCTTGCATGGGAGGCAGAGGACCAAGGAAAAGGTGACCTCTTCCTTGTCACCGTGACCATGTTGGTCAGTGACCTTCATTTTTGTTAAAGGTCTTTACATAAGAAAATGAGAAAATAATATAATTAAAGCAATACAGAAGTAAAACAAGTGAAGAATATGGAAAACAATGAAGACACAATTTAAATTTTGCATTGCTTGCACATCTAGCATAATATTTTTATTTTTTTTTACCTCAAAAATAGTTGATGAACTAGTAAAGAAAACTGGCACAAGCACCTACTTGCTTTTGGTATCCTGTGAAGGTTCACCCAGGAAGTGTGAGTGTTTCTCCCCTAGAGAAGGGAGGTTTTTATTTTGAGGTGTGATAATTATTGCACTCACCTGTGAATTTGGAGGCTCTATTAATCTCCAAGTAATTAAACCTCCATCTCCTGATTCCCAAGAAAATACACTAGCCACAGCAGCAGGTATATGCTGAGCAATGTTGCCTGCCATCTTGTAGGTGGCACATGTGCAGGAACAATGGAGCAAAGTGTTAGGGAAAGAGGTTTTGTGCACAATTTAGAGATCAAAGCACTCAACTGGGAAGGTTTGTATTCTAGACAAGCTTCCAGAGACAGGCATTTGTTTAGTATTTCAGCAGGAAATGTGAAAAGAGTCCCAGTGACAGTGTCAGAGTCAAGCATCTTGGTTAGGCATTGGTTGTTTAAATTTTGCTGTCATTTTATCAGATGTGATAAAACCATATGATAGCAAAACTGTCTTATTTTGGGATGATCATGTTAATGTTTTTAGCATATTTTGTGTGCACAAGTTAGTATATCTGCAGTTGAGCACTGGAACATTACCAGAGACATTGATTTCTGTTATTGTAGTGTCTTAGCTACTGAATGTCAGAGTGTGGGGAAATTCTTTCAGTTCTTGGATATGAACCTAGTACTTCACATCTGGTTTTGCGAAACACAATAGTAAAAGCAGTTAGAGTCAGTGATTTACCCATCTGTGACCAGGTATCTTAGCATAGGCAAACGAATCAACTCACTTAGAAAATAGTCTCTGTTTATTGACTAGAGAAAGGCAGGAGGTCTATAACTTCAAGTAACTCTATCACGCTTAAATGTTTGTTAAGTGTAGTGAGCTCTAGCCAGTGTATTTAGGGCACTTTAAAACTTCTAAAATTTTGGCCTCAGGTAATGAAATATAAACTGCTCCATTTCTTATGCTGAATGCTTAAAAATACCGCAGTAAGTTGCAGATGATCAGTACAACCATGGCCTGGTAGCTGGGGTAACTCTTACGTTAATTGTTGCATAAAACATCTGAAATTTTATGTGCCTTCCAGTTTCCTTTCTCTAGCTGATAAAAGGTGGCAATTCCATGATTCAGGATGCAGCATATGGATACGGAATCTTAAGTCCTAGGTTTTCTTTCTGTACTTCAGCACAGAAGTTTAATCCAAGTTCTATCTTTGACTGGCCTTCAAATCTGATTCTTGGTATGTAGGCGCTGAGTGCTTCCTTGACATAAATCTTCACTGAGAAAATGTGTTACTTATTGTAGCCAAATATGTTCTGTTCAAAACTTAAATTTCTTCTAAGATCAGTTGTCAGCAATCAATATCAGGCAATTGTATTTTAAGTCAATGCTTAAGACTGTTTCTTCTTTCATTATTTCAACATGGACTACTTCTCCGAAATTATTATGAGTTAGAGCTGATAAGCAACAGGTTTCAAAGTGATGAACAGAACTGAAGATATTTTATGCACAAAGATTCATTATTTATGTAAAACTAGGTGCTGTTAATCTTACATAACGATTGTACAGGGATGTAACTGTAAATTCCACAGTACACACTTTTGGAGTATAAATGCAGAATTCTGAACTAAAGAAAACAAATGCAAACTAGTGCAGTTAAAGCTGGGTTGTGGGAAACATTGGACAAAACTTTTATTATTCCTGTAGGAACAACAGCATTGGATGAGACATGCGATGATACTTAGGAGCAATACTGACAGTTCATGCATTACTGAAAATGCGACTTCTTTTCAATCTGTATGTAATAGAAAGCATACTGCTGATGAGCTTTGGTGGGATTTGAAGGTCTGTTCTTTCAGAACTAATAAATTTAGATTTTTAAATGAACATCAGGATCATAGTGAAATCAACTTTGTGCTATTACTTTTCCTGTATCTATTATGCATTCAAGAGTTCTCACTCTTGGGGATAGCAAATAAGGGATGGAAATCAAGTTCAAGTATTTTTCTGGTGTTTGTCTCTGCATTTGTTCTAGACTGATTACACTTCAGTGATTATTGCAGCTGGCACAGACCGGGTGTTTTATCACCAGAATACTTAGCACATCACTTGTCCCCATGGTCATGGCAAATGCATCATGCAAAATGCCACTTTATTGTATAGTCCTGGGGGGAAAAGGTACGATTTTAATCTGCAAAGCTCTCCATAGCAGTTGAGGAAACTGAAAGAAATTGGTCATGAGGAAACAAGGAAAATGGCAGACTGAGAAAATGGAGTCTTACCACAGGAAACAACGGGGCGATTATGCCATTCTATTGAAACTCACTGCAGCTCATTAAATAAGGGGTGGAAGGAGTTAGAAAAGGTGATAGGGTAAACTGATATCCCTCTGGTGAGGTTCTGAGGAAGGGCCTGTCATCATGGTTGTCTCCCTTCTCACTCTGTGACCGTGTAGACTGAAGACAATGCAACTAAACTCATTCTCAAGTGTTTTACTGAAATCATCCAGTTCCTAATAGCAGATCCAGAATCCTGGAGTTAATGCCGTTCTGATTTCTAGAATTTTAGTTGTTGATAGTGTTTTTAGAAAAGTGAAA